TGCATGAACCCAGATACCCCAACCTCCACCCTCTTCTCCAAACATAATTAGAGTAATTTATAGTGAGCTAGCCACATTGTATGCTGTATATACAATACATATGTGCACACATAGTTGGGCCTCTTCATCTAATGCGCCTTGGTTTAAGAGATGAATTTGCATTCCTCATATTTTATTAGAAATGTATTGATGCAGGCTAGAATTTAAATAACTGTTTTTCGGTTTACATTTTTTAGAATTATTTTCTAAGGAAATCTTAGGGGAACATCTAAAAAGTTTGGCAGGAGGCATATGTTAAATTAGCAAATAATTGGTTCCATATACAATTAAGTAATCTTTATCATTTGGAGAAAGTACAAATTTTTTGACTCACATTGGTAGGAATTTTGAGCAAGTATTTTTACAGTATCGTTTGTATTGAAAAATATGTCCTCAAATAAAAAAAAATCTGTTTGTCAAAAATAGATAAATTAAACCAGCGTGTTTGCACTTTTGTCTGAATCCCTCTCCTTTACTCCAAAGCTGTGGGTTTTTCCATAAGGGTGGGAGATAAATTTGTCCACTCAGTTATCAGTTCTAGCCTGTTATCAGTAGCTGGCATCAGAATGGACATACAGTAGCGTCCTGCACCAAGGATGTAGACACTGCTGAGTGCTGGATAATTTCTACACCAACACCAGACCATTAATGGCCACTCTGTCAGAGCTCCAGTCTTCCTCTGTGGAGAGCGGAGAACCTCCTAGAAAGACAAAATTTCAACGGCAACCTACAAATCAGGCCTGTTTTGTAACTGTACAGATGAAAGGAAATCTTAATGAAAGACACAGAGAATTCTCTTTGGAGTTTGCTGAACAGCCCCTGAACCACATAGTGAAAGTCCTGGAGAGCCAGAGTCCAAACTTTATTGCGATTGAACATCTCTGATGGTTATGCAAAGATGTCACCCACCCAACCTAATGGATCTTAAATGCATTAAAATGTACTACTGTCAACACTAGCAGTTAGCCATGGCTTGTTAATCCTAGTGTTTTGCACAATAGGTAAAAAACCACACAAGCAGCAACACTACTGCCTGGAGTTCAGTCCCTGGTTTTTGGAATCACCCATTTTGGTGGAGAAGAGACAGGAGGTGGTAACAAGAGCTGATGTAAGAAACCTTAAAGTAATAATGTAAGTACACAAGAAGGACCAAAATCACGCTTTGAGTAGCGTAAACTCTTGTGGGCTTTTCTGGCTTGTGCACGGACTCCATATGGAAAAACCAAGACACTATCAAAATCAAGATTTTCTAGCTTTCTTTTGATTACATAATTTTGAATGACTAAATTAGATGATAAGTTATTTAGTACCTATCTAGCATTTTCACCTAATAGAATTTTACTCTTGATTAAATTCTCAGCCTAAATTACAATTCTTGAAGGAACACATGGGCATAACTTTTATAGCCGTCATGGCATAGATGCCAGAGCCATTTTATGGGCCCAGTCCAGCCCTGCATGTTACTCGGCCTATCTCTCCCATTTAAAAACCCACTAAAATGTACTTTAAGAGCAATGCAGAGTGGGATGATTGGAGTAGAATATGCCACTTGCAGCTGCTTTCAGTTATAGAACTGCATCAGCATGTACCTTTAAGTTATCATTGTTGGTCATGTTAAATCACCTAAAAATGATCACAAATGTTTTGTTTAAATGAGTGAAAATCTCAACAATATACCCATTTTTTTTTTTTTTTTTTTTTACACAAATGAATTAGAGCACAGGGTCAGCTTATGAGAATAGCTGATGGTTAACTTATGTTAAGCAGGTTCTGAGAATTTCCCTTTCTCTTAAATGTCACATTCAATCCTACAGTCTTTGAGTCATCACTGCCAACTGAGACCACACACTGGCTGGCTTAAAGCATTTCAATTCCTGTGTGATTATAAACACTTCTTTTAAATCCATTGTTGAGTCTGGGCCAGATTGTATACTGTCATAATAGCTAAATTACCATTCTCTCTTGGAGACAGTACAGCTAATAACATACTTGACTTTTTATTATTATAAGGTCTTACTTTTACTAGTTTATCCTAAACACATGAAATCGCCATGTTAAAGCATGTCTAAAACACATACTTCCAGCTTCCAATGGACTAAATAAAACCAGGTTTCTCAATCCATTCCTTCTTTTAATAAAACCTTTACTGCTGCATTTTTCTATCTTGGTCAGAGAGCAGTTTATGCTGCATACCTGGTTGCAATCAATGTCACCTTTCAGAGGGTATGGAGTGAGGGCAGTTCAAGGGAAATGATAGACACAAAAGGCTCTTTCAGCACCGAGAGCCTCCCTCCCTCCCTAGTCTGACCCACATCTTTCCTCCATAGCTCCTACTCAAACATTCAGCCTTCATCTTGGCTTTAAAAGAAGCAGATACATGCCTTTGGTCAGTCAGACAGCAATGTAGAGTAAAAATAACATGGATATAGGATGGAGGGAAATTTGATAGAGATGTAAGACTTAAAGGAATAGTACACCCAAAACATGATTAGCCTTCATTTTCTACTCACCCCCATGCTGAACAAAACTCTGGAGTACTTTTTTGATATCTCAAATGCATCTGGAGATCTGGGAGGCTTCTTGCTGTCTGCTGACATTCAAATAATGGAGGTCTATTGTGCCCGAGACAGAAAGGTCCACAAAAGTCCACAAAAACGTGTCAATATTCCTCCATACTGCTCGTCCAATGTAATCCAAGTGTCCTGAGTGGGTAGCATCCAGAATTTACTCGAAACGAAGTCATTTAGAACGTTTTAGAGCCTAAACAGTAGTGTATAGGATTTCCTAATAGCGCCCCCATGCGCGCTCACGATTCTACGGAAGCCGGCAGACCAAACCGGAAGGAAGTGCGCATTCAGCGTCTGCTCTGCCGATAATGCAAGAGTAGAAGAAGAAATGTGCTGTTTACCTGTGCAAAGAAAGAAACAACGAAAGAAAAATGTCTGAGGACTTCAGTGTTGAGGAAGAGCATGAGTTCTTTGCCGAGCTGAATGCGCTGGTTTGGTCTGCCGGCTTCCGTAGCGCCGTGAGCGCGCATGGGGGCGCTATTAGGAAATCCTATACACTACTGTTTATGCTCTAAAAACATTCTAAATGACTTCGTTTCGAGTAAATTATGGACGCTACCCACTCAGGACACTTGGAATACATTGGACGAGCAGTATGAAGGAATATTGACACGTTTTTATGGACTTTTATGGACCTTTCTGTCTCGGGCGCCATAGACCTCCATTATTTGAATGTCAGCAGACAGCAAGAAGCCTCCCAGATCTCCAGATGCATTTGAGATATCAAAAAAGTACTCCAGAGTGTTGTTCAGCATGGGGGTGAGTAGAAAATGAAGGCTAATCATGTTTTGGGTGTACTATTCCTTTAAGATGTTTCATATCTGTGAGGTACATGTCTAAAATGATAGCTTATAATCATTCAGTTAAACCGGCTGAATAAAACACCCACTATCATCACTTTTTTATTGCATGACCATGTACTTACAACAACCATCCTCAATACATCCTCCGTCATTAGTCTTTATATCACCCATCTCTAAAACTTTCATCTGTTTACATGTGAATGTATGCACACTGCTCCAAAGGTACACAGAGGCACATTCCTATGGATGTATTTCATCACACCACACCTCAAAACACACCAGCGCACACAAGCTCTAGTGTGTTTTAGTTGATTGATTTAACATGTGACATGTTTCAACTTGGAAACCAAGTGAATCAGTGATAACATCATATGTCTGTCTGCAGAGATGATGAAGAGTAAAGCTGCTAGACATGAAGCCATGCTCCAGGTCAAATGTCTGAATATAAATTTACAATTTAAGTCAAAGCATTGAGTTTGTTTTTCCCCTTATATTTTAAGGGAGAGTAAACACCACGATAAGACAGAGGGGCTGTCTTAGGCCCTCAAAAATTAAACCGTAGCAACTAATTAAACTGGTAAAAACTTTGAAATCAGCCATTACACAGTATTTAAAATAGTCAGCAACTGGGGGACATTTGGTGAACAAGAATGTAGCTGTTTAATCAAGCTTGTCCATAAAGCAGGCTAAGACAGCTGAATAAAGTTTCCCAAAACCTGAAAATACCACCAAAGGACCTACAGCAGGCTGTTGGTGCAACTAACATAAAACTGCATCAAAAAAGACAGCAAATGTTTATCTTCTGTGGCAGGTCTGCAAGAGTAAACCTTTGCTCTAAAAACCTGAAAGCCAGACCAAGGTTTTCCCCAAAATATAAACAAAGGCTATATCTGAAGTGTTATTTAAGCAGATGGATGACCCTAAGATTGAATTATTTAGACAACCGAACAGGACAGGACTTGAGTGAACAGCATACATCATTGTAAGAAAAATTCTGCATGTCGGCAGAGAGGATTAGTTTTAGGTTTCATGTTTTTCGTTGTTTTCTTTTATGCAGCAGAACCTGAGCAGCTCATGAATCTATAACCAACCAATAAACCCTGATTCTTGCTTTGTAAAACTGAAACAGAACAAAATTTTACTACCTTCTAGAGGGGAAGGGTTACCTTACGTTTTTCCTTATTGAGTGTATGTGTTTTCGTTTTCTGTCAAATAAGTAAAAAAGATACATTTTTGTATTTTCTTGTTTTTAAATCACTTTCAAACCAGTGGATAAAAAGAAGATTAGACAGTGAAATGAAAATATGTATAAGAAATAATACTTCCAATATAATATCAAGCTTTTATTAAAAGCACTGTTTGGACTTTACCCTTTCTGGTTATTTTTGGACTTTCTATATTTAAATTTGATGGCATAAAGTTGAGAAGTATTGATGTCCATGCCCTGGTGAATTGGATATGGTGAATTCAGCCAAGAGGTGACATCTGAAAATGGCACTGCAGATGTCTGCAGCTTCTGCACAAAGGACCTACCCTAATTGAAAAACTAAAACAAAGAGGCAGTAATGTAAATAACAAAAAAATCAACACATTTTTTGTAACTGATTTTATTGAATCGCGACAATAACTTAAACATGTTCGTTTGCTGAGTTTCAAAATCCAGTCAGTCACGCCCATCAGAAAAATAGGCAAATACATTTTCAGGAAAACAAATTAGTTTTGTCGTTTTTTTAAAGAAAGAAGCACAAGACAGTGAAATATGGACAACGCAAAAGAGTGAACTGAAATCTGCTGTCTCGTCACATGTTCACAATGAGAGAACTAGCCTTTTCAAAGTTCTTTCAAAGGAAAGTCTGGAATAAGCTTCTTTGGTGAAGGAAAACAAATCGGTATGGCCTCAGGCAATTAAGGACCTTTGTCTTAGATGAAAATAAGTTGAAGTTGACTAGCACCAGTAGTAAGCTTCAATTTGTGCAAAACTCTCCCTGAAACACAATTATTGTAGCTAATGTGCACATGCTCCAGCTGAGTTGCTTGTGAAGATACCAGTGTGTATGACACCTACCAAGATGGTATCAAATCATTACCGTAAAACACAAAAACCGACCTACAGTATAAAGATATGCTTTCTTCTCTAAAATGAATGTTTACAGTTGTACTGTTGCAAAGCTATGTAGCCGTCTACTTGTTTTTTATTGCAGTCTATTTTGTCATTTAATTTGCTTGCTACTTTTCTTCATTATATTCACTGATTGACAGAGATTCTTAAAAGATAAACTTATTGTATTCGTTTTAAAGCATTTGCTCAAATTAAAATGGAAAAAAAAAAAAAAAAAAACTGCATCATGGAACCATCAGACACAAAATTGATCCAAAACAAATGACTGAAGCAAAAATAAAGAGGGGTGCTAATGCTGTTTAAATAAATGATTTTACAATAAATTTAAAAGACCCTGCAAACTCATAAAATTAGAATAGAAATTCAAAAGGTAGAATAGCACACAAAACAAATACAGTGAACAAAAACAACTATGCATTGGACCCTTAGCAAAAATATTAATAGGATGCTTCCCAAACGTCATCTGGACAAATAGAAGAAAAGGTCAGTTTTTCCTTGAATCTCTTATTTTTAACATTTAATTGCTCTTAGCATCCATTATGCCTTTAGTAAGGATCTGGTCCCAAGTCAATGACTTTCTCCCCTAGTGCTCTGGAGCACTCTCATCATGCTGTGCTAGTTTTTGTTAGTTTTTTCCACTGCTGGATTTTTGTCTTTGCATGGATTTTGTGTGTTAGCATCTATTAGGTTATGTATTTGAGGTGAGTGTTGTGTTTGTAGCATGTTTTATGTTTGCTGCTATTTTCTGTAAATTTAGATATTTACATTTGCTGCATATTTCTTTTGATATATTTTTTTTTGTGTTTGTTAGTCTCATTTTGAGTTTGCTAGTTTAATGTTTGCATTTACAGGACCTTTTAAACTTGCTGTGAAATTATGTACTTAAACTGCATTTGCACCCCTAGACCATTTTAGAACATATTTACAGTATGTTTAAAATTAAGTTCAAGGATCAACAAATGACACTGCGATGTATCGAGTGCCGTTGGTGGTAGGTAAACCTTCATGGAGATGAGTCAGACGTCCAGGATGCATGAAACTCCATCCTTTCCTTGGTGATTCTATGGAGCAGTTGTATCGATGGAAGCGGCAACCTCCACCCTAATGAGAATGTAAATAAGGAGAGCAGGAAAAAAATGTTTTTGTGAGATGCACAAAACAGTTATGGTCAAAAAAAGACCAAAAAAATCACAAACCTAACAAAGAACTCCACAGTAGTCTGCTCAATTTATTACTCATGTTATACAGGAAAACCCCTGACTTATTTGCAAAACTTATCTCACCTGAAAATCAGTATCCTTGCTGTTGAGAGCAATGTTGATAGTGAAGGTGGAAGAGTCATGATGGGGCCTCAAGAAGGCTTGTCTGTGGGGTGTGTATTTAACTACAAAGTTCATCAATGCATATCCCTGTTGAGAAAAAAAAAACAAACAAAAAAAAAAACAATTATGTGTCTTTTTTGCAAGTCATTGCTTCATATTTATAAAAAAGCAGGATGAAAGTCTGCAAAAATACCCAGGAATAACATGATACTGGCTGATTATTCTAAAATTTTAAAAACGTAGGCTTGCAGAACAGCAGAGTGTTTTGCAATAGGATCCATGCTAGACAATTTGTCAAAAGCACTGCAGTTTTCCCTGGATTGCACAGAATAGTGCAGAACAGTCCCTTCTCCACATGTTTCTATGCCTTGGCTGAGAATCGCTTTCTACATGCTATTGCTTTGCTTACAACAAATGCACTATGGCTTTTAACCTTTCCCTCTCCCTCTTGTTGGAGAACGTTTTTTTCTCTCTCTCCCATTCCCTCCCTGTCTATCCTACTTAGCTCAGTGTTTGCTATGTACTGTTTTTTTTATGCAGTCTCAAACTCTATCCTACTAAGGATAAAGTTTAAAATATGATTTTTTATCCTCCTCTGACCTATTGTGATCCCTTTCTTTTGTTTTTCTTACTATAAGGCCAGCTCCTTTTATGGCAGCAAGGCCTTTAACACCACGTGCTCCATCTGTAATGCCGTCTAATGTCTTTCTGTATGTTTTTGTCTTATTGGACAGGCTGTACTGAATCTGAATTCCCCTTCGAGGATTAATAAAGTGTCATTGAATTTAATGGAATTGTGAAATCTGAGAGAGATGCAAAAGTACCTGTAGTGATGGTATGGAAAAAAAGCTTCTGTCATCAGTTATATAAGAGTTAATTTTGTTTTAAACCAGTGTTAATAACTAATCACTGGGTCACTATATTCAATACTTATTTGAAAGAGACGGTAGCAATAACCTTTAATGGATTCTTGGAGCTATGTAGCAACTGAAATGACAGCAAGCATCCTTGATCTTAAAACTAAGGTTCTTACATGTAAAGTTAACTGACCACTCTAGGTGGCCCTTAGGTCTAAGAGTGTTAGTCTGCATTTAACTTAAAGTGAAACTGAAAACACATGGAAAAATGTTAGAATTGGCCAATGATATAGTTAACAGCTAATGAGTTGACACTATGTTTATAATGGTAGTGCATAAGCTAAGAACCACACAAAATAGACTGTAGGTTGGCTACTTACAAAGACCAGAGATTGGAAAACATGAAATTATAACATTACTGAGATATTTCAGTTTCCTTCTGCAGTAACCACAGCAACAAATATGCCCCAACCATTACTTAAACCAGTAATTTAACTTATTACATTTATGGTACTGATAAGACTGTACACAATTACTTTTCTCAAAACCAAAATATTACCAGGTGACAGATAAAGCTTTCACTTTTTTGGCTCCTGATTTTGATTGTTTTTGAGACCTGAAATCCTGAAGTCCATCATTGTGGGACTTTACTGCTGCATAGAGAAGTGCTTAATTCTAGCTAGAATGCATGGATCTGTGTGCTTGCAGACTTTCTTCCTTTCTATGCAGCGCAAAACCAATTTTAAACATATTACAGCCATATAGGATTTGGAGGGAGAAAAACTTAAAATGAATGTGTTGGAAACCAAGATAGCGAAAAGTACATACAAATAAAAGTTTTAGATGAAAGAAAAGGGTTATGAGTATGTCAAGTCAGACTAACCTTTGTGTAGTAACCAGAGAAAACCTTTAATGTGACGGGTGATATGTACTCTCGGAGAAAGTGAAGCCATTCCTTATCGAACCCAATTTGTTTCATGTGAATGTCATCAGTTGGCACCGTCTCGTAGCCTCCAGCAATCCTCTTGTCCTAAGAAAAAGAAGAGGAAAAAATCCTTGTGATTAACGATGGAACAAATGACCCACCATCCTAAAAGTGCGTGACCACAGCCTTTAATGTAATGATGATGATGATGATGTGTCTGTGTGCCTTTAAGACCGCAGGCTGGGCTGACGTCTGTCTGCATGAAACTTAATGACCCAACCAGGACAGTCATTTCCCAAAAAGTTATTTAAAGTATCTGCATGCAATCAGTCTGCAAAGGCAAACTCTGAGACACTAAATGACCAATTTTGACAACATAAAACAGGCCACATAAATAAAATTTTCTCAAAAATACATTGGTAGCAGGATTACTTGTTTTCAAATTTTTTTTAGAGATGGAGATTGTGGTAACCATTGTCTACTACTGTAGCTGAGTTCAACAACAACAATAAAGCAAACCAATGCATTGTAGATACACAACATTTCATGGCATATAGAACCTTTTCATTCCAAACCACTAACCCACTGGTAGTATGAAATAGCTTGTTGTCTTGGTGTGCTGAAGGCATTGCACATTAAACTTTTTTGGAAATGTATCTATGAGCTTTAAATATTTTGCATACGATACATAAAATTTCTCTCTTGATAGTATCCTTTAAAAACGTATAATACATCAATGATGTTATCTTTATTGGCAATATCTTGCTTAGTGTTAAACCAGTCCTTCATTTATGTTATAAACCAGTATAATGAGTATGTTTTTAACTTTTAATATTCAACTATACCAGTCAATATGAATATCGCATTATGCAAAAAGGTATTGAAGATTTTATTAATAACAGAATGGCTCAGTGCCAATCTTCTTTACTAATAAGGGGTTTAAAGGCACACCGTGGACTTTTTGACCTAAAGAGTTGATGCATTAAATGAGTTATTTTAAATATTTAAAAAAATTTTATATTTTAAGTATTTAAATATTTTAAATGATTCTTCAGGCTACAGTGCTTAACACTATCAATGCTACAAGCGGGGCTTCTCTATTGAAACCCCCCTATGTAAGTTGGTAGAAGACACGCCACCATTGGCCAGATCATGTGACCTGGAAGAAGGTATCTCTTTACAGCCACAGGCTTTTATATAGTCATGGAGCTCAGGCTTTTGCTCCACTATTTTTCCAACTACTCGACTATTGGTTAATGGCTGAGGCAAGAAAACATTTTAAACCTTCTTAGGAGGCTAAAAAGAGAAAACGTGAAAGGGATGGGCCTGAGGAAAAACAAGAGTCAATCTTGGAAAGGAGTTTTTTCATTGCCAAAGGCTGGAAGAAGAAGCCAGATATAAAACCAATTCTCTTTTTGTAACTTTATTATTAGTCTGGTAAGTTTACACTTTGCACCAAGTATACAGTCAAATGTCTTTATTATTATTTTCAATGTTTAATAGAAGCAAAATATGGGCAGTTACAGGTCTAGCGCCCCCAGTGGCAAAAAGTTATATGGTGTAAAGAAAATGAACAGAACAGAAAATAAAAGTGGTACACAAAAAAAATAATTGTACAGAATCAAAACCAGCAAGAGACTTGGAGGGAAAATGGGAAGTAAAGAAACAGAATGTACCATACAAACCAAAATAAAACAGGAATTTACATTAAACTAACAACAACTGCTTTTTTACATAATTTACCAATAAGGCTATGTAAAATTGAAATTAAAAGTGTGAGTTACTGTCTTAGCAACCTAATACCATCAAAGTATGTCTGTAAAATTTGTACACGAACCTCAAATATTTGTTACTATTGTTTAACAATTACATTTTATAATATTTTCTCTTTGTCATAAGAAGGTTCAAGAGGTTTAAATATTTTGAAAGTATCTGGGGTTTTTTTTGTATATTATATGTATTTTTGGAAACCTTTCCATTTCCACCACAAATTGTGGTGTGGATTTGTACACTGGAGGTTAGTTTGGAAAAATGTTTGAGGCACGACAACACCAGGTCATTAATACACTGAAACCCTATATTTAAAGTGTTTTTCATTTACTGATATTATTTAAAAACGCAAAAAATATGTATACACAAAAAAGGACCAAAAATGACAGAAAAAAATTTCAACAGCCTTGCAGTGTATTTTGTTTTCTGTTTTACTTTTATGTTCCGGAAGTCTACAGCAACAGTACTGACCTCATGTTTGCCCCCAGACCATACACCATAGTGCTCCATCTCCTCCACTATTTCATCACACGCCTTCACTGAGAGCACAGGAAACCAGAACACATCTGGACAAGGCTGCAAATCACACATAAACACAAATATAGTGAGACAGACTTGACTCAAACCTTCACCTGGTGTTGTAGCTGCTGTAATACAACACCCAGTAAAGCTAAAACCAGATGTTAGGATTTCCCTGCTACGTCATGTCATTGCCTTTCACTCACTCTCAGTCTGTGAACGTAGAGACACACATAAATACAAACCTCCTCCAACTGGTTTTCAGTAAAAATTCGGGTATAGTTTGGGTGGATGTACTTTTCCTTCCAGTCCTGCATGTGGAGATATTTTCAGATTAGTAGATATTTTTTCACAGTATGTGTTGACCTGCATTCCAGAGAGGGCTAATCTCCTCGCCCACAGCTTTATCAGCCAGCAACCCTCTTACACTATGGTTTTCTTTTGTCTCATTTATAATTCCTTCATTTCTTTTAATAACTTGCACAGTTCGCTGCCGTTTATCGTGAAGGAAATAGATTTCACATGCGTGTAAAAATAATGAAAGAACATAACGACTTACCACAGGGTTTTCAAATATCTGCCACAAGTCGTTATTGTAACGAGATATGTTATAATTAGCCGTGGAAATGAGCCTCCCAAACTCATGACGGTTGGTTATGTACATGAACACTCCCTGCAGCAAACAGGGAAATAAATCATTTTAGGTTGCATACAAATGATAGAGTTGAAAGAAAATAGTTTAAAAATGTATAAAAGATATGCATCTGCATAACTATAAAACATGCAGATTTATAGCACATTAAATTCCTTAGTTATTTTTGCTGGCATACGAAAAACAATAAAAACTGATTTAAGTGTGTCTAAACACACTGAAATCATGCTTAACTCTAGGTTGAAGTAGACAGGCGGCTTATAAATAATCTGAGATTATTTATGGGTCAGTCATCTCTGAGTTGCCCTTGTCAGGACAAGACAGAGTCGTTAGGGGGTTGGGAGAGGCAAGATCAGAAGGGGGTCCTGGGATGAAGCAAAACTAAAGAGAACACACTAGTATAGTGAGGCGTAGGGAGGGTGCTTTGTGGATCTGGACTTATTGTCAGACTAGGCTGTGTTAATGTCAAAAATCACAGATTATGGGTCTTTTAACGTTGTGGCGTGAGTTTCCAAATTGCCAATGTCAAAGCTGTGATTTAGGCCAAATGCAACAGCAGTGAGGTGAAAGGCAGAGCTGTTAGAGCCTAGTCTGAGATCAGTCAGTGTGTTCATTGGGGGGAGGGGAAGCTGCTAACATTTGTTTTTGGTGAGGTTTGGTTTGACAGGGTTAACCATCAGGAAAGAGGACTTGCACATCGACTCTTCAACTTAACAAGGGCTATCTTACCCCAATAGTTCTTAAATCATACTTTTCACAAACAATGAGGTTCACATCAATTTATAAAATAATTAAGTTTTTTTAATTTACTTTTATTTCAAATTCTTTCATCTCCCTTAACCACAATCGTAATTATATTTATATTTTATCAACGAAACACATCTGATATTTAATTATTTGAAAGATGAACCTCTACACTATTGTTTTTAAAGCTTTAAACAGATACTGTTAACTGTTTTCTATTTAGCCCTGTCCATATTTAACATTGTGCGTAATCTGGATTGTCGCAAGATCTGAGTTTTCAGTCTCACAACAAATCAATCTTAAAAGACTCCCCCTAATATGTCCGTCTCGTAACAACCAGAGAGTCAGACCAATGACATGCCAGTGGGGTTTTTTGGGCTGGGACTTTGCATTTGTGGATGGGAAACATTTCTGTGCTTTTCTTCCAACAGGATTAGGAAAAAGTTTGATTTATCAGCTTACTTCGCCAGTTGTGAAAATGTCACGATTCACTGCTACGATTGGCTGAAAGCTTATTATGGAAGGCGGGTATTAGTGACACGTCACCAAATCAGCTTGAAGTATTGTACTAAACGTCCCTCCTTTTCACAGACGGACTAAAAGGCAGCCAGCGATCTACACATATCAATCGAGGTTAGTCCAAACACTCATCAACTCCAAAATGCCCCACTTGCTGTGCTTTTTGGAGTTTGTTTTTCACCACTTTAAGTAAGTAACTTTGATTAATGGTAGACTTTACCAGCCTATAAATTTAGATGGATGGCTGCGGTTCAATATATTTTCAGTATAATCTTACTCTTTCCTTTCTGATAATGAATTAACAAATGCTCTGAGGTTTTAGGTTTTTAATGCCTTTTACATCCTCCATGATTCTTTTTTTTTTGCACTTCAATTTTGTGTAAAACCTTTACATCCTTTACCGAACAGCAGTAAACATTTTGCGGTTATATTAAACTCCATAATTTGCTATCAATTAAGAGCTGATGGCTCTTGATTTTCTTTTTTCCAGTATCAAATGAGTAAATAACAAACACCTGTATGTTTTTTTTTTAGATATAAAAAGAATGAAGAAAAAAGGCCATGTATCTTTATCATTATAGCTTACAAATATGCTAAATTTTGTGTTGGTCAGTGACATGATTTTAAAAAATACATTTATATTTAGGGTCACAGAGTAACAAAACGGAGATAGAATTCAAGACTGCAACTAATTATTAAAACCTTCATTATCATTAGGGTATTTTTCAATCATTGATGCATCGGACAATAAACTAGATCTCAAAGCTAAATATTATTAAAACCTAAAAGTTTAACATATTCTGCCTCTGACAGGCCTAAAAGTATAATTGGTTTCTGAGTGCAATATCAATGGAAATTAGAATATCAGAAAGCAGAACAATCAAAGTAAATATTGACCTTAGGGGACCTGAGCATATGGAATGATTCCGGAGAAGGGGAGTCTTTTTCCCTGTGACTGGTCTAAAATGAAGGAGAAGCATCATGTAAATAAGACTGCATAAATTTTACTCAGAGTAAGAGACAAAGTGACAGATAAAGTATTTTCATGTCACACATATTAGAACTTAGAAGGAGTGAAAATGCACCCGCATGATCAAAGTAGCAAGATTCCCTCTGAAGCCGATGTTTCTGTGGAAGAGTTACAGGAAGGATGCACGCAGAGCAGGGTAGCAGTTCAGCTCTAAGCATAGGCGACATGTAGTTGTCACAGAGTACAGCTGAGAGAACAGTTTAAAGGTTTTTAGAAAAGAAAGCAAAACAAGATTAATGTCGTCAGCTGCCAAGCCAGGCATTGCAACTGACTGAGATCATGGCAAAAAGGGCAGAAGAACATGAAGGGTGAGGGAATGCAAGTAGAGCAGAGAACCTTAATGCTCTGCAGGCAAACCATGTACAGGGTTTAGGTCATGCCTTGGTGACAAAGACTTTCAAAACAATTAAATACTTTTTGCTTATGCCTTAAATCTGTCACACAACTATGTAGCTGCCTTGGATTTTAAATTAGAAAAATAACACTCCAACATTGCCTTTCTACAAATCCATTACTGTAGCATAACTGGCAAAAGATATAGCTGAAACATGGAGTCACATACTGTTTGAATATGTGAAATTTACTAAGGTGTCAATGTTGCAACAGAGAAGAAAAACATTTGTTGTCATAAGCCTTGCTACTAGCAAATTTCACAAGGTTCTAATATACTTTTACAGTGACACATGATACATTCTTCAAATTTATTCCACTTGAGGAACATAGATAAACAATGTTTAACACAAAACATACATTTCTGGTTGCAAGATCTTAAAATATATTTTTAGATTTGCCAACATACCTAGTATAGAAACACTGTGACAGGAGCCTATCAATACATTCATGTGATTAAAAGTGCAGTATTTTTCACCTTCTTACCATTTCTCTGGCGTTTCTACACAAAGCCATATCTGGGTCCAATTTCTCCAGAACAAAGTGATTCCTTTCTTTAAGTTCATTCCTTAAAACGGTTCCCTTGATGAGGTATATGTGCGCCATGAAGGGAATGTTCCACAAACCCCTTAAAACAAAAGGAAACATTTCCCTTTCAATTCACAAGGAGGGTTTGTAAATGTGATTCACTGCATCCATGATTGATTATTTAGAAATGATAGAATTCTACATAACTATGCTATGATATAAATAAGATTAGATAAGCAGTCAGAAATTAAAGCTGACTCACACTCGTTTCCTTTGTACAATGTCGACATAATCCTCAGATCGTGCATAGTAGCCATCCAGGCTCAAGGCTCCCCAAAAGTTTGACCACAGCTTGCCATGACGGGTGACAAGAGGACCAATTATCTTTCTGTGAAGGCAAAGTGGAAAAAATAGTTAAAAAAGCTAACATCCTAATGTACTGATATTCTTTATAACCACTGCACTGGATCAAAACAATTAACACCTGTCTGTAAATCATCACTGCTAATTTAGTCTAATGCAAACCAGGCCTTTAATGTACTGAAATTATTTCGATCCTCACTCCAAGGAGCTCCAAAAATGTTTAATTGTGTTGAACACTAACCCTGACAGGGAATGTGCTTCAACAATTCTAATGGTCAATAAAAAGAATCATCAAGGAATGTGGAATGCTGTTGTTTTTATACTTAAATAAAAACTCCAAGCCAACATAGTTTTAGTTATATTATTGTTGGTTAGGAATAATGCAAATGTGTTGGCCCCAACAGACTCGTGCAGACCACATATTCTTGGTTTCTTCAAATGCTGCAGTGCCAACAGAAAATTCTCATGCTGCCTTTAAATATCCTAGAAAGTCTCTCGCCTTACGTACTACCAGTCACTCACATTTCCACTGCAGAAATCCCAATGACATATGGTTTTTGGGAAGTTTTCTTCACAATCATGTGCTGTATAGGGTGATAAAAGGGTTTGCATGTTTGTTTGGGTTTCTTTTGCTATGCCAAGCTGCATTTTGGGGTTAGTGCAGCAGACATTCTGTTTCCATGAGGACAGCCAAAAATCATATCCTTAGCAGCTTTTTTTTTTCCTTTAATTGACTCGTCTGTAAGGCTGTAAGGCTGCTGTGGGTTTGCCACCTCTGGGATGAATCCAATGCTTCAGTGACCTTGATAGCTACTGTGGAAATGCCCTTAATGGCCTCTAGCGTGGCTACTGCAGCAGCTGACATGTGATTACCTGTTTTGTTCGATGAGAAGCTTCAATGTCTGTCGGTTGGTGAGCATGACGTCAGAATCAAGGCTGAAGTAATAGTCACATGTAGCATCTTTGCGACAAAGATCCCTGATAAAATAAGCATAAAGCGTTGTCGAAAATGTCTTATTTATATTAATAAACTTTGACATGTAATAGTCAATTCAATGATTGTATATTTAAACCATGTGTACATAATTAAGTTTAACTGAGCTTTGATTGCTTTTATATGTCATAGTCTAAACAGTTTAGATACTTTTAGTTAACCGTGGTTTTGTTATTGATGGGATCTTAATTAAGCCTAATGTACCGGTAAGACAATTGCAGTACTGTTAAGATTAATATTCTGTTTTAAACAGTTTAAATTATAGAGGCACCAAGAAGCTAACTTGTAAACAGAATTAGCAAGAGTTCAACTTCACTAGGCCAAGAGCAGATGATTGGAAACACAAAATCTGATTTTTTTGTAGTCATTGAAAGCACCTCATATAAGCATTACCTTTGTTGTGCTGGGGTTTCTTAATTAAACGTGATCGAATTCTTTGAAGGCATTTTACCTTTAGTAAACAGTTCATTCAAGATGCTATAACAGAAAGCAAAACTTGCAGATAGTTAGAAGTCCTTTTATTTTCTTCATTACTTAACCAGCTTTAAATAAGTCACAGCCAACCTTTTCAGTGATTCAGGATGTTAATTTCACTGAGTGGCATGCATTAACCAACTTTAGCAAATGGCATTAATGGATCAACATCTTGTTGGCATTTTCTTATAAAAGTCGGTTAAGGTAAGAGTCTGATTTCCCCTAGTTAGGAATCCTTAACCCTCGTGTTGCCTTCAGATCAAAATACCCGAAACTGAGTTAAAATATCAAAATTAACCCTAAATTATATTTTTCAAATTTAAATAAGAGGAAGTTTCCTAGCTTGGCCCTAGCATTAGAAAAAGTTAACCATTGCCTTATTCATCTTTCCATGTTAGCTGCATAAAGAAAATAGTCAATTTGTAAGGGCACTTTTCACTGTTAAACAGTTCTAGATTTTTTTTTTTTCAGATGACGAGCAAGACAGTTGATTGAGAAAGGAGAGGTATCAGAAAAAGATGATGGGAAAGAATACAACCCATAACACAATGCTAATTCATCTAGAGAAGTAGATGCCTCAAGCTGAATGAGAGACATTCCTGACAGAAAAGGCGAGTCGTATCGCCATAATAAATGCAGTTTTACTGCCATGTTAAAACGAAAAAAAAATAAAAAATCTGGCAAAATACTGTCGATTTGGTGTTAAAACGAGGGCCAGAAAGCGTAAATTAAATTTGATTGAGGTCTGTTCAAAGATCTGATCAGGATAAGCACAGTGGTAACGCTTATCTTTAATTATGCTAACTGCAATAAAGGTAGGATAAATTGTCGGCTGATTTTGCTTTTGTTTCACAGTGATAAAATACCTTCCACAGTGACTGCTCATAACATAAGCATTTATGATTATTTTAAAAATTCTAGGATTCCCCAATTCTGGAGACAATTCATTTCTAGTTTACCAGCAAAGCTTAGCCATCAGTAGCTCATTATGAACAGTTTGTGTAAAAATTGTTCTTCAAACATCAGATTCTAAAAGATATTCAACTTTTAACAGACACACATACATTCCCATGTTCCTGGCCTCTCCTTGGCTCAAGTTTTCCTCTGGTCCCACAACTTTAAAACTCTTGAACACGTCCCTGTTCTCCTCCCAGAACCTCTGAATGTGCTTCTCGTGATAAACCTCCTGGGCAGGGAGCCAATATTAACAGATTATAAGCGGTAGACACTTGAGACTGATTTTAAAAAAGCAAAGAGTTTCTGCACCCACTCACATTGTTATGTACAAAGAGTTTCAGTTTATCTTTGGGATAGTCCAGGGTAAGCAGCTGTTTGAAAAACTCAGGAAGGAATGGAGTTGGCTGTTCGATGAAGACTCCGACTAGCACGTCTGGATACTCCTGTTTAGATTAGAGGAAAGACAAATCATTTCTGTTTTAAACAACTGATCACAGCTGTAATAAACCAAGAATATTTACACCTCACTTGTTACATGTATATAAACATTATGGCTCTGCAGATGTCTCACACATTACTTATTCATTTTTAACAGACCCAATTCTTTTACATTTTAAGAAATTGTACATTGCAAGATTTTCTTTTAAACACACAAAACACATAAAAATGCCACTGTGGACATGCTATACATAGATGGGAAAAAAGGAGGACATAGAGATGAGGAAGACTTTCCCATGACACTGAGCTTCAGCCCACACAGGCCAGTCTGGATTCGTAATTTTCTTGACCAGTTCACAGCAAAGGTCTGGGCTGGGGATGAAAAGCCATCCCAGCCGAACCATCTAATTTTCACGTTCCGCAATGACTGTTTTTTAGGCACAGGAAGGAGACCTCAAACTTCAAGCCAACACAAGCTTAAACGGTTTCACTAGGCCTGCAGACAGGCAGACTCAATAAAGAGGAATAGGTGGCATTGACAAAATAAATTATTTACAATAGGCTTTAACACGAGGCAGAAGCAAAAAGTTTGGTTGTGTGGCTGGCACGACACTTGTCTTTGGTTGGATAAAACTTCCAGCGTCTTTGCAGGGCCAAAAGTTCAAAGCTTAAGTGCAACAAAAAGGCACACAGGATTGCCAGTGGACTGAGTTCACCCCAGTGGACAGGCACTGTGGGAGCAGTGTTTCCTCAAGGCCTGATCTTCCAGACGTCTTCCTTCCAAACAAATAAAAGGAAACGGTGGAATGAAATGCCTCTATAGACCATTTTACTTCAGCAACCTTTTCTCCATTCTTTGCAGAAGGTCAAATGTTTTTCTTTTTTTTAATTACCCATGTTTGTACTATAGTAGATCCTATCAAACTATTGAAGGAGCTCATTGAATAGTTACCTCATGGCTTTGGGTGACAACCTGTGTGGCACTTTCTGAAATGATTCCTAAATACTTAAACACAAATTTGTCACATTATAGCCACAATCGTTAACGTATTGAATTGGTATTTTATCTGTATAAAAATAGTGCACATGAAAAGGAGTAAAGGGAACTATATATTTTAATGGTTGTGCTTAAACAAAGCAGCATACCAATGGTGTTTAGTCTTGCTAAATTTGCATTGAAAAGCTGTTACTCATAATAGGTATGTCTCTACCAGCTTTTTGATTCTAAGGAACAAAATATGTGTTATTTTCCTTGGAAAAAAGCTGAGTTTTAGTAAGACTGGACATACTGTAGAGCATGTGGGCATTAGTGTTAAGGTTTCCCTTATGGATTCTGTTCTGAATTTTAGTTAGTAAATTGTTAGAAAGACGCAGTCAAACTTTTAAGCTAAGATTTGAACCATAATATTGTTGGACTGAATCATGGTCCTGCTTCAAGGTGAACATCCACAATAGCCTTCGTATTCTGCTGCCTCCAATATTGTTTTCTTCCACCATTGATCTATATTTATTTCCATCGATCGTCTCATCCACTGAATGCATTTTGCCTTTACATGGTTAAGAGAGGCATTTCCATGGCATTATACTGCTACTACCATGTATCACTGTACAGATACTGTACTGTGCTTCCTATTCTGCTTACAAATACTACCATCTAAATGATATAGATATTTGCTCCTTCATAGTTACAATGTTGCTGTTCTGAACAAATCAATTTAAATTAAAGTGAGCAACCCTGTCTTTGTGGTGTAGTAGAGAACATTCAGCTAATATGTATACAGATAGATAGATAGATAGATAGATAGATAGATAGATAGATAGATAGATAGATAGATAGATAGATAGATAGATAGATAGATAGATAGATATCACAACCATGTTTAGAAATTCCCATCAATTTGTCTTAATCTTTCTAACAGCAAATGTCATAACCACAACCCTATGGTTAGGAAATACATTAATTTCACATCATTTGGAATAAGGCTGTAAAAAATCTGGAAATGATACAGCACTGTGAATGCTCTTTCTGATCCACTTGATGTAATCCCTGCCTTTTTCAACTAAGAAAATATTTTTCATAAACAACAAAACATTCAGTAAGAGATTTAGAGCCCAATGTACAAAGAGGAATAAATGAGGTCTTTCAAATATTGAAGCACACAGTCTGAGAGGCTTTCTAAAGTCTTGCCCAACTTAATCCCAGGCTGACAAATTTTCAGCATAACCGCTATAACTCACTATAGTGAGTGAAAGCCACATTGCAGAGCCCACTAAAAGGCAGGCTGGTCAGCAGTGACTCCCCTTTAAATGAGCACTTCTCAGAACCTCAGAAACCATATCCTGCACCACAGCCATGCAATGCTTCCGAGCGGTTCACATCCCGCTTGTCTTCCTTAAAAAGTCCAAAAAGTATACAGCTACTCTGGCTGGAAAGAGAGCAGAACCGACAGTCTCACTTATCTGTTAAAAGAAGACAAACCAGGCTGTACACTGCCTGTCTAGACAGTTACTGGTAGATAGATAGCTCATACTGGAAATTCCAGGGATCTTTTTCATCTTTTCCTAAGTTCACAAAAATCAAGTTAAAAACAAACTTTCCAGGGAAGCCAATTTAAAATTAACAAGTACTGTTAACAGATGGAAAAGTTCTAAATGTGTATAACTTACATGTAACTGAGACAAATCCAAAAGATCTTCATCACAGTGTGAGCAGCCATGTTCATAGTTCCATGCATTTGGCACGTAGTTCCCCAGGTAGTTCAAGTAAATCTGGGGAGAAAAACATAATCCGTGTATAAGTTATCCTTTTTATAGTTCTGCAAATAGTTCTCACAAAAGTAAAAAATAAATAAATAAAAATAAGTGAATACCTTGTAGATTTTTTTTTCTTCATATAAATAAAAGTTTTTTGCTTTACATGTTTTATGTGTTCTATTACACCAGTGAAGAACACAATTTATTTTTATTTAACTGTTCTCATGGAGCACTAAATATCCAGAGAGGGAATGCCTATTAAATGTGTGCGATAGCATAGACAAACCCATTTCTCCTCATTTATCCTCTGTTTAAAAGTTGCTGTTTGCATCGCTTTTAAAAGCTTACTTTCAAAAAGAAGATTTGCAATTTCTCCCCACGACAAGACTCACTACCGGTAAGTGAAAATGGGGAAGAGGATGTAGGACAGCCTTACATAAACATATCACCAGAATGATTGACAATTAGGAAGACCACTTATTTTGATGATCCACCTGGAAAAAGAACATCCTCCTCTATACCTTTAACTGAAAAAATGCGTATGAATCTAATACAGGAACTTTTGGAGGACTAATGTGTAATTATGTGTTTTTTGCACCACGTTTTTTCTCCCACAATGTCTGCATCTGATCAGTGCTGCACTTTAAGAAATGGAAATGTCATGAGAGCTGTACACATCGAAATTTCACATTGTATACACTCTGTATACAAAATGACAATGAATGTCGTCTAAGTATAAAGTCAATGAATGCAAATCAACTTTAATTGTAGGGAAAATGTTGTGAAATTGTATTTTTTTTTTTTTTTGTTATAGCAAAGCCTGTTAATTTCCCTGTACATATTGGCAGGCACATAAGGAAAATGCAGTTTTAGGTAGAGCATTTATTCGCTAAACTAAAAGCGAAAAATATGTTTTCATTAAATTACTTCTTGCCAAATAACTGTGACCACTGCAGAGACTTTTATGTTGTCTCCAAAAACAAATAGTTCCCTAAATATTCTGTTCATTAACAATGCTGTTTTTTACTTAGGTTGCTTTTAAGTAGGAGGCTTGCTGAATTTAATTTGTCTAGGTGCTACTTTTAACATTAAAGTAGAGATTAAATTGCAATCCTTTGCTTGTAACTAGAATGGAATTAGAATGACTAAACATTAGGAAATATTCAAGGCCAGACATTCAGCTGGGTTTTTCCAGTCCTAGAAAGGCATGGATACTGTGCTCTAACATTAAGAGCTACACCTCCAGCTGTTAAGACATTTTGGAGAAATGACTCAATAATGGGTTTGATTCATAACTCAATGCCCTGATAGAGAAGGAAGATTGCAATGAATAAAATGGAGGAAAATGTTTCATCATTTTAAAATGATAATGTTATATTACAGACATCTGTTAACTTAGTGACTCTTGGACTGATTGCTGTGAGATAGTATAGAGCAAATGAGAAACACATGGTCAAAAGAAAACAAACCATGACATGAATGACTAATGACCAGGCAATAAGGGTCAGGGTCACCTGGCAAGCTTCAAATATACATAGCTTTTTTTTTCAAAAAAATTGGAAAGTGCACTTTTAATCCATCAGTGTAAGGTTTTTAACATCAGTGTAAGATTTTTAAAAAGTTATATTAAAAAATAAAAAGTCTGTTACATTGTTAATGGGGTTTAAGCTCCTGATGGTAGTTTACCAGTGAAGTTAGTGTACTTCACAAGCCTTATGGAGCATAGTGCCATGAAGTTTTGCCCATTCCCAGCTTGTTGCTGCTCACTGCTGTCAGAAGGCTAAACTTTACTCTCTCTTTTACAGGTCCAATATTATTCTACATTTAGAATAAAAAAAATATTAATATTAACAATGAGACCCAGAGCATGTTTTTTGCCATTATGCAGGAAATCTCTTCTCAAATTAGGCAGACAGCCTTTACCAAAAGTCTCCTTATTTAGGGCTCCTCTGGAGAAACTATTGTTGGCTTCTCATGCCCCCCGTTCTGCTGAAGGACGCACCCCTACAAGCTGCAACCATGACAACCAGTCAGAGTTCTTGAATGTATCCATGGAGCATGGAATAATACACTAAATGAAGGCCATAACTTGACCAATGGGCTGCTACAGACTGCTATTGACAGCTTATTCCCCCTTATGACATCATAAAGGGCACACTTATCAAACAGACCATCTTTAACACACATTAGCTGGGAGGTGAAGAAATGCAGTCAGAGGGTTTAATTTCATTTGTGAACCTCACACACAGGCTTCAGGACACACATAACTGTGCAAAGTGTTTGCATTGATACATGGGTCTCAATTGTATTAGCCCACTATAAAAAAGGATATAAGGCTGATTTTGTGGGAAATGTCTGCAGATCTAGTCACCCCTAGTTTATATAGCATCTGCTGGATAAAAAAAAAAAAAAAAGCATGGGCAGTAACTTAGAATGGAATATCCTTTTAATCTCCCACAAAGGGGAAATTGTGGTTCCCTTACTGCCGCGGTTCTCAAAGTGTGTGGCGCGACCCACTGGTGGGGAATTGAGACGTGACAGGTGGGGCGCGCCAAGTTCCGGTGTGTGTGTGTGTGTGTGTGACTATAAATGTAGAATGTGTGAGAGCAAACTGTCTTTATAGCTGTATGTTGCCGCTTTTTAGACCAATCAAACCCACAAAGTAATCATTAATAGCCTACATGCAGTCTAATTAAAAGAACATTAGATATGAGAAAAATTTCACCTGGAACTGAAGTGCCAAAATAATGATTGACGTGACGTCGGCATATTATTTGTAACGGAATAAACTTTCGCGCCCCAGTGTTGCCAACTCAGCGACTTTGTCGCTATATTTTAGACCCCTCCAGCGACTCTTTTTAAAAAAAGGGACTAGCGACAAATTAGCGACTTTTGGAGACTCTTACGTGAAAGCACGTATCGTTCCTTTTCTTGTCCTCCAGCGGCAGGTGCTGCCGTGGGGCGCCTCCGTCCCAACCCCGTTCTCCCCCGCTATCGCAGGAGTCCCTCTCAGCGCTGCAGAGACACAGCATGTTTACCCTCAGCGTCCAGACTGCAAATAAAGCGCACATGCGCCGGGATTGACGGCGCAGGTTGATCATAAATAACTGAATTTGAAATATTTTATCTTAAATAAATAGGACCAGTTTATTGAAATGACGTCTGACTCCACCCTGAGGCTCAGGTTTAATGCTCAGACTAATAGTGAATTCTGGTTTGGAGTGGAGAGGGAGTATCCACTCATCGGTCAGAGAGCTGTGTGCATTCTTCTTCCCTTTGCCACATCATATCTCTGTGAGATGGGCTTTTCAACTGTTGCTTCACTGAAAACAAAATACAGATCTCAGCTGAACATTGAGCATGACTTGAGAGTGGCAGTATCAAGCCTGCAACCCCGTTTTGAGAAACTGTGCAATGCAAAACAGGCTCATTGCAGCCACTAATGCAGGGATAAATAGACCTGTCTTGCCAGATGGATTTCACTTCTTTTCTTTTATTAACAGATTGCAGAGTGGCAATTTTTTCTATCTTTGAGCTTGATACAAATTTTGACACAGCTGCATTTTTATTTTCTTTATTTTTGAGCTTGCTGTTATTTGATGTAGATAGTTTGTATTTAGATACTACTTGTGACTTCAATAAAATTGGAAAATTTTAAGATAGTTGCATATTTCATTAGCATTGTGTTGGGGCGATGGGGACAGGCGGGGCTTGAAAATTCCCCCTTGTCCAAAGTGGGGAATGACAGAAAAAGTTTGAGAACCACTGCCTTACTGTATATCTTGCTGTAGATTTGACTCCTTGGTAAGTCATGACCAACATTGGCAAAAAATTACCTACAATTGACAATTCATGGAAAATATACTAGTCAGTCTGCTGACTGCAGGCTCTAATGAGTAGATTGCCTGACTGTTTACACAACTAAAATAGAGTAGTTGCAATTAATGTTACTCTATAAAAATGGAAAAAACAGAAATTTGTTTTTTCTGTTAAATACATGCTTTTTAAGGTTACTGTTAAATTTACCAGGTTATGTTTTCTGATCTAAAGAACCTATTAGATGTTGTTATAGTCTTAAACAACCAGATGCTAGCTCATCGCAACAGTAGCACCTTTTACACAATAACTGAAATAATGCTATACATTTTTGTTTTCATTTTTTTTCCGTGGGAAGAAAGAGAGATTGTCTCACACAAGGCTACAATACCACAGGAATCTTTTCCAAGCCCATGTCTATATACGCCTAAAGCTGTGTACTCACTTTAGTGTTCCCATTGCCATGGACCACAACAGGCAGAGAATTGTATGCCGTGTTTCTTACTCGCACCCTGTCAGTCCCAAACTTGAGAAGCACCTCATCTACAAAGAAAAAAGAAAAAAACAAGGAGACAAGGCACACTTGTAAAACCTGAAATAAGGGGCTATTTCTGCTGCCATAACTAGTTACTCATCAGTTGAAAAAGCATTCAATGTTGGTTTGAAGTTACTTCAGTATGAACTAATTGTTCTCACTCGCATGATGGCTTTTAAATGTACCAATTGGCTTTAAATGGGATTACTTACCTATTGCCCCATTCAAATTCTGGAAAATCTGGCACTTATGGTCCAGAGTCATGTTAAGTGATTCCTGTAAGATGTAAAGATAGAAATATGCTCAGCTGTCAGAAATATTTTTGAACAGATGCTGTGTGCACAGAGGAACGATACAAAAAAACAACATACTCTTTTCGATAGATCCAGGTAAATCTTAGTGTAGAAGAGCTGGTCGTCATCATTGTCATGGAGATCCCACTGTGAAACTATTCTGTTTACATAAGGGGCATACCCAATTATACCTGCAAGAAATTAACAACATGAAATGCTTACCAACGTGTAAATGATACGGTGAGAGGTGTTTACACAACTGGCAGACTGCTGGCTGGCTTAACAGCCTCCAACTCTAGGGAAGCCTGGATGCCTAAAACTAAGTAAGATTTTTGGCAATAATCAGGGCAGGGACGTTAACTGTTCCACAGAGGTTTGCAAAAATGTTTTAAAGCTGTTGCAATGTACTTGTTATGACCATCTTGCATCACACACTAAATGTAATTCCCATGGCAGTCTCCTCTTTAGGTTTAGCCTTTTTTTCTCTCACTCTGTCACTCAAGGACAGCAACCACAGTAATAGATTGTAGGGTTTAGCTACATTGCTGCTGTGCGCAATTATCCCATCATTTGAAAAAGTCAGACAGACACTGTAAACAAGTCAGGGAACAATCATGACATAATGCAAAAGCTAGGAGCGGGGAAAGGAAGTCAAAAGCAGCCTACAGCTTGCTATGTGGAGATTTTGAAAGGGGCATTGACTAAGTTGTGATTATTGGGTTTTCCAAAAAAGACCACACTGTAGTTCACAATATCTGTCTGACAAAGGTCTTCTTGTGGAGAAATACCATCACTCTTCTGGACCACACTGCGTCCTTATCAGATCTCAATCCAATTGAGAACTGTTGGGGTTAGATGGCAAGGGATGTTTACAAACATGGAAACCCAATTCAGACAGTGGATGTCTTATATGAAGCCCTCTACACCACCTGCAGCAATTTATTTAACAAGGTGTTTAACAAGAATCGGGCAGCTCCTCATTATTAACTTTTTTTTTATTTTAAGTTTATTTCTGGTCTTAAACATTTGATTGGAGGATAAACACTTTCATTCAGTTTAATGGTTGTTTACAACAAATTGCTTTTCTTTCTTTGAAACTTTTGAAGAGCCAACTGTATAAAAATGAAAGTTTTTGCAATTTTACAACTGCGAAATGCTAAGACTTCAGCTGTGTCTGAATGCCTGCCCTAATCACTATATAAGGTACTATATAGTGGTTATGCCATTTTTAATTAGTGTGTGTACATCTAGTGGATGAAAAGGTAGGTGACTCAAAATTTCCCACAATGCACTTTCAAAAGTAGTGATCACCCATGGTCACTAGAGGAGCAGATATATTCCAGAATGCTTTGCAAGGAAAACTCTCCTCGCAAAGCATTCTGGGATTTGCTCTCCAGTGTCCCACTGTCGCCATAGGCTGGTATAGGCTACCCCACGCGGAGACTAATAAAAAAAAGATGTCACAGACACTGTGTGGTGGAGGCGGAGTTACGTGACCAACAGGGAGCGAAAAATAATAATCATCTCTCCAAACGATCAGTTAAAAGTTTACTATAAAGTCCTCTATATAGTTCCCACTCTATATAGTGATTGAGGGATCTAGGGTTTAGGGCACAACTCTGCCATATTTAAAGTAGGCTAAGTCCTCTTTCATAATCTTGTTCGAGATTGGTCTGAAAGCCATCCTCCCCATGTGAATATGCCTTAATGCCTGGAATTAATGCGTAAAATGACATTTATGTGTTCAAATTAACTGATGAACTGAGGATTGACTGTAGTTTTAGTCTTTGTTTTAAAAAAAGGAAATATATAGAAATTAAGTTACATTAGGACCATGCAAACACATGATCTTATAGATCATGTGTTTCTTATATGCAAACACATGATGTTATTTTTGCATAGGGGGGAAACACTTGAACAGAACAGCTCCTTTTTGACCATGTTAGATACTAAGTATCTCCTTTTCTTTCTCTGCTTTAATATCCACAAAAAGACAAGACAAACACAGAATATCTATTTAGACTCCATTTCCAGAGTTATGTACCCTCTTTGACACAGCTGTGCATGTCCAAATGCTATAAAACTTTCCTCACCGGTCACTTGGGCGGTAGCCGGAATACAAACAAAACCTGCAATTTAATGGAAACTGTGGCACACTCGGGGGCCCAAGACAAATCCACATGTCAAGTCAATGACAATGAACGCTTAAAACAGTCTCTGATCAGTCTGAGACAGTAAGACTCCAATATGGGAGGTCAGACCAAATTGATGACCACAGGGAAAGAAGCAGTCCAAAGCACCAGGGAACTGGAAGAAACTGGTTTAGGTTAACCATAAATAAGCTTTTGCTTTGTTGCAAAATGTTCTACCTATTTTGAGTTCTACAAATGTGGACAGTTGGTAAAAGGTTTTCGAGCTATCCCCATACGAGACCGTAATATATGTCCCATCAACCACCAGGAAGATGACTACTAAAAAAAGATGCTTAAGCTTATGGTTAAACACACAAATTATCTCCTCCCATATCCTGTTCACCACTGACAGGAAATTCTTGAAAATCCAGGTTTACTTGGAAAATATATTCCAATTTCACTCCATAAATTAGGCATTAGTTCGGGGTTTTGTATTTAAAAAACAACATGAGGCTATTGCTACTCCTAGATGGTGCTCCAATACTCCTTGCACAAAAGACAGCTTAAGTCTGCGCTTGGCCCACTGAATTCCAGCAAGGCCTGCCAGTCTTCAAAGTTTGACAGCTGATAGTGGTTTGAGTTAAACAGAGTTCACACAGTTACTTTGGTTAGTAAGTGGTTCAAAATGAGGGTAACACTGCTTCAAACTTGGGAAGAAATGTCATATTGATTTAAACATTTTTCACTATACATTACTTGCACTGAGTTTTTTATTGTCAAATCTACTTAACCGTAAACTACACATACATCAAAAAGACTGCAATCTGCAAATTTTAGACATAGCTTAATGTGTTGTTAAATATGGGTAACAGCTTGGAGGTAGTTATTTCAAAGTAAAGACATAATGTACCACATAATTAAAGCACAATATACAATCACTGTACTTATGCTATAGAAAGATGACTACATCAGTGAGTAAAAGCTGTTATAAACTAAGAAAGACAGTTTAAATAGCTACACTGTCAAACAGTGATTCCAGTGTTTCTTGCATAGTGTTTCTGCACTGTACCTCAAGATACAGTGTTGTGTTTTCCACCTTATAGATGTTTTTAGATGACTCAAAAATCATGCACAGATTACCTGAAGAAACCAAAATAAAGGTTTAAATTTTTTTTTATTTTAAACATGGAAGGGTTGTGGTCCTTTAAGTTGGGTGTTTGTTTTGCCAAAATGTTTTTTTTGGAAGGATAAACAGCTTGTTTAATGTTAAGCTACAGTGTCTCAATCAGAGTAAGGATCAATTTTAGATTGCTAATGAGAAAATGTGGTTCTCTGTATTTTGGTGTTTGTCAAAGAGCATATTTTATGGTAAAAATTAATTTACAAGATCAACAACTGGAGCAATGTTATACTTTTGTTAACAGATTTCTGCTTTTGAGTTTTGTGGTGTGAACAGCAATGATCAGGCTTTCAGCAAACCGTAAAAACATATTAGCTCATAAAGGCAAACTAAACTCTTGAAACCCACCTCCAGAGTTGAGGTAACGCTTGCCACTTCTGACTAAAGGGTACTTGTCAGCCAGCCTTTTATCAGGCCATATCAGCCCCTCTGCAGCAAACAGCACTTTGTGATTGGCTTGTTGGAATTTCCTCAGGATCTCCTCTGGTCCCCCAGCGAAGATAAGATCATAGCTTGAGAGGGAGAAGAAAAAAACAAAATGTAAGAAATCTTTTTTCTTTTACATATCCTAAAGGAGCAGTCTTCTCTTCAACATATGTCATCAAGTTTGACACAGAGCATATGCTTTTACATGCCTGAGTCTGATAGAAATCTAAAAGGAAAAAAAAAAATTCCACATGCTTTGTCTCTGGTTTTCTGGAAGCCTGAGCAGTATAATGGTTTCACAGGGCAGATCTTTAATAATGATATTAATCGTTTTTGATTGCAAATTTGTACATTCAAATTTATGTAAATAGTTCTTCTTCAACAACACTAGGCCACCACTCCCCTATAATTATCAGTAACCTGAGTTATCTGATGTCTTATTGCTTTGGTGGGCACAGTGAACCTTTAAAGCTAAACAACATTATGGCTTCACAACAGAGTTATTGAATACAGAACACCTTCTATTAATGGGGTAGTGCAAGTCTAAAAGTAGTCCAGACTAAGGAACATTTATAGAGAGAGCATGGCAGCAAAAGTAAAGGTTGAATCATAAAAGGAAGTCTGACGTAGATGAGGAAGTCGAAACATTTGCTCCACATCTGGCAGACACATGTTCACATAAAGATCCCTAGACACTTGTTAGATATTAAATCACTTGTACCACTGAAATAGGGCTCTTGTCATGAAACCATTTTAAATTTCGTCTGAGAATTACATGGAAATAAATTTAAGACAAATGCAACCTGGAAACCTTAGATTTTCAGTTGTGATTTTGAGAATACTGTTTTGCAGCTGTCTGCAGAATTTACCAAAACCTAGGAGTTACAGTAGTGGAAATAAAAAGACTAAAATATTGATGTTAATTGGGGATATGCTGAATAGACACTAAATTGTGTGCTTGGTTAGTTTAACACAGCAGCAAGGTGAGCAGCAACTAAAAAGCATAGACCTTCTAATTTATGGAATGTAGAACCCCCTTAAGCTCTGGTCACTGAAATAAATTTACAAACATAATGTGAGGAGGTGATTATTACAAAGGCAGAACATGCCAACACCATCCTGTTGAGCCAAGAGGATTTTAATATATAACATATCCTGAATTACTCACTATCCTCGGATGTATTAAAGCAGATTAACAGATCACAGTTTTACAGTTAAGAGCATTATTTTCTAACTACTCGATTTAAAGAGATTGAAACTTTGACTGAGAATATATATAACACAATAATGTAAATATTGTGATCTTTTGCCGTATCTAAAGAGAAAGGCCCTAGAAACACATGCAGTTTTAAACCCCTCACTTTGTCTCTGAAAGAAAATATCTATCAGTGTTCAAAGCTTATAATTCATCTAACTGCATGTGGGAATATCTCTCCTCACATATAATGATGCTTATCACGGAATGTTTGATTGCTGTTATTGCTCCACCCAAAACACCTTTCACCAAGGGGTTCTGGCTTTCAAATCTGTCATTACAGCACATGATGTTTAGTGCCATACTACAATTAAAGGTGCTTTGCATCTTTTTCTCGGTTGGACATTAAATCTAGATTAGATGAAAGGTAAATCAAACTGAAGATGACAATGAAGCAAACAAACTCAAGATAGCTAGAACATATGACACTATGATGAAAAGACTAATACAAAATATAGATAGCTTCATATAAGTTTGGTTAATAACATACCTATCCACAAACAAGACGACAAGATCTTCCTGATCACCCAGAGACTCCATGGCCTCCTTCAGCAGTCTGACTTTTTGCCCTCCACCAATCGAACGACCAACTTCACCGCCTTTCCAGGTCTCTCCCATTCCCAACACCTAAAACAGGGGAAAAAATGTCAAAAATGTAAACAGGCTGAAGACAAACAGTTCTCCACATTTACCATTAGTTTCCTAACAGAATAACCTTAAAAGTTGGGCTGATCCTTCCATAGTTATATGTAATGATTGGCGGGAAGGAATATTTTATTAATTCCCATTTACACTGTATGTCATTATCTTAGCACTGATGACTGGCTTAATTACTCATTCCATTCACCTGTCTAACTTTGCCTGGTTTCCCATCACTGCTCATCTTATCCACCTGCTCCTTCCTCTATTTAAGGGGCTTGCATCCAGTCATTAGGGCCAGATTATCTTTTTCTCTCTAGCCAATGGTGAATGGTTTTTAGAGTACCCTGGTGTTTCTGATTTCCTGATCCTGACCTGTTCTGCCTCTCAACCACTGAGCCTGCCTGTTCCTGTCTAAACAGTTTGCCTGAACTTTCTTTGGACTCCTGGATCTTTGAGCCTGCCTGTTCCGATCTGGTTGCCTGACCTGGCTTCGGACTTCTGAACCTCTGAGCTTGCCTGTTTCTCTCTGATCTGTTCCTGACCTGGCTTCGGACTCTTGGACCTCTAAGTCTGCTTGTTCCTCTTCTGATCTGTTTGCCTGACCTGGTTTCGGACTGCTGTATGTTGTCCAGGGTTGCAGCATCTGGGACGCTCTGGGCAGCACCCGCCCCAACTGGCGGGATCCTACCTTGTTCTCTGGGCATGGACTGAACTTGTAACTGAACTTGTAAAACAGGTTAGTGACTCATGTTCATAATCGTCCTCCGTCAGATTATCAAGGTCACTAACCAGCATTTCCTTTCCGCAGAGTTTCCAGGCTTAGTTACATCCGCTGCTACAGAAGATCCCGAGGCAGTTTTTAAATAAACACTTTTTGAATAATCCCACTATCTCTCTTGCCTGAATACTGGATCCTCTGTTCTAAAATGTGACACTGTATGTGCTGCCAAAAATAAAAATATGCAATATACATTTTTAAGGACCTGCAGGAAACTAGACATCTGTTTTATACTGGAACATTAAATCTAGAATCTACCACAGAAATGTTCAGTAAATTAGAATATCTTATTTAATGAAGCTTGTTTGTCAGATTTAAAGTACATTAAAAAAAAGCTTTTAAGAGGTGTTAAACTTGGTTTAGTTTAAGCTGACATTTCTATTAAAATGTTTACCGGTCTGTTGTAATATTCTAATCTTAAATTTGCTGTTAAAAGCAGAAACTCTCCCTGGAATAAAGTTATTTTTCAGTAATGTTCTTATTTGATAAAAATGAATGTAAATTAAAACACTGACTGTTACCTTATGCAGCTAAGATTTGTGGCCCATAAGTTTTGTTATGTCAAATTCAAACTAGGTTAGTATCAAACTGCTCTAAAAGTACTGCAAATAAGGGCACATGAGGATACCAGTGCAGACGCGCCACTGCCAACCACATGGCTAAAAACAAACAAAAACTGTTTTTGAAACCACAAAGGGAAATGATTGTGTGGGCATCATGGGGTTTCCCTTTGGGATGGCAGACTTTCACAGCTTGTTGCACTTCTTTGTTCTCTTTAACAAGGCTCAATCAATTCTGTAAAGTGTGTGTGGTAAGTATTTTCCTGCACAGTGCAAGGGTTGTTTAGTTAAAAAACAAAGATAAGCAATTTCTCTCCATAATACAAGAATATATTTTTTTAAGAAAATACACCAACTTCCAGTTAAATGCTTCAGTGAAGAAATTATTTTACAAGGCTAGCAACTTTCAAATAAACAATCAAAGTACAAATGAATAAAATAAGGAAGAATAACAAATTAAGAGAAGCAAAAAAAATCGCAAAAAGCACAAAAAAATCTGTAACCAGTTGCCAAAAAAAAGATGCTATTATATCACTGCTCAGTGTTAAAACTGATTTTTGAAAACCAAGGTCTGATTTGAGGGATTGAGACTGAGATAATTTTAGTTCTGAAATTAACAATCAATACAGTTCCTAAAAGGTTAACCACATACCACTTGGTCTATACCTGCCTTGTTATGTGTCCATTTTCATTTATTTTGCGTGATCTTCACAAATTATTTCATTACCAACTTCATAGACATCATTATTTTCTTTCTAAAGAAAATGATCATACTAGTGAAATTATGCCATGAAACTGCCTCTATTAGTACATTTATGTGAAGAATACCATATTAAAATATATATATTTTACACTGTAGATGCCTTCACAAATGTAAGTAGAAGGCATGCATAGGCTCATTTTGTACATAATAATGCATAAAAAATTGTTCCTCTTGGGTGTATTCCCTAAAAACTTGTTTTTCTTTAGTAAAAAGAGAAAGAAAAAAAAGCAATATTTGCTTTTCCTGGCAAAAATATACAAATCCATCAGAGTTTTGGAGCGCTATGTTGGGTGTGCCTGTGTTCTGCTGTGTATTAGCTTGCTATCACAACAAATCCTAAATTTGTTATGATAGCACGTCAAAACTAGTCGTCCCGAGGAAAAAAAACTGACAGCTTCTCTTGCAATAAGTTCACATACTGACACAGCACCATTTTTGAAAATGATTGACATGAGGTGACAGCCAATGAAAGAGCTTTAAAAGATGGTTGGTCTGTATTCAGCTCTAGCAGGAAATGTTCATGCATAAGGTGTAGGGGTGTCCTTCTGATCTGATATTATCATCAGACATCAGTCAGATATAAAAAAAGGTAATAGTGCCCGGCGTCTTAAATCTCTGCTTTTGACAATCAGATAGAAAATCTCTAAAGTTTCTTTAAAGTTTTTGTAACCCATTTATCAATACTACGTGGCTCAATTCTATTCATACCTTTTTTGTTGACTATTGTCCTCTGTTTTGCTAATTGCACATGATCAAGCCTTTTCTAACATTCAACATAACAAAATAAGTAATAAGAGTATGTATGATCCGTGCCAATGTCTTATCAAGTAAATATAGGTATCGGTTAATTCTCTAGGCTTCAATGTCGGTATTGTTTTATAAATAAAAAAATAAAAACAAAACTTGCAAAAAAAATAAATAAATAAGAAAATGTGTTTAAAAAACAGCTTGATAGAATAATGTTTAAGAAAAATTCATAATCTTGAAGATATTTTACTATTTATGTTGAATTACCAATCATAGTTACAACTGAATCAAGTGGACAACCAAATGGCAGCTAAAAAGAGAGAAAGATCCAAATAGTGCAAATCAGTAAGTACAGTTGAGCCAAAGAGGAAGCAGTTGAAACAATAAATGCTGTGCGAATACTGCTTGCATTATCTCTTACAGTATCTCTGCTTCTGTCTCCTTGAACCCCAGTCGGCCTCGGCAGATGGCCGCTCACACTGAGCCTGGTTCTGCTGTAGGTTTCTTCCAGTTAAAAGGGAGATTTTCCTCTCCACTGTCGCTACAAGCATGCTTAGTGTGAGGGATTGTATTTGAGTCAATGAGTCGATGCAATAAACTGGTTTTCCTTAGATAGAAAACTTTGAATCAATTTGACTATATGATCTGGTTGAACTGTAAAGTGCCTTAAGATGGCGTGTTGTGAATTGGCACTATATAAATAAACTGAATTTAATTTAATTAAGGAAGGAGGTAGGAAGGGGAAGCATCCTATTAATTGTTCAATTAGCATATGGACCTCACAATGTACTTGTCCACTTCATCCAAGGTAAATTTTTGCCCATAATCCTTTGCATGAGAGGATGCAAAGGCACAACAATTTTGTAAAAAAATACATTGCTACCTTACATGTACACTAAGTGTACACACCTTCATATGTTTGGGGTTTAAAATGGAGAGTATTAAGTATATGTAACTTGCATTTTTTTAGTTCTTTTTTAGGAAGGATATAGAACCATTTTAACTAGCATCCTCCAGACTGCTCCAATAACAGCAGACTGGAGTTCCTTTCATCCCTATGACAGTTTTGACTGTTTAGCCCAAAAAAGGTGAAGGAATGGGACTAAGAGCTACAGTGTGCACAATTTGAATGGAAGAAAACACAACAGTGTAGCTATTAAATGGCAGGTATGATGATGTGACATCCAGAATTAGCAGCTCAGCATAACAACAAATAAAATATGAGCTGTAGCGCTATTTAGCAACCCTTCTAAACCCCATTGTACCTAATGTGTAAATAATCCTTCTTTCTGGAAGTTGTCATGAATATGGGTTAATATTATGAATTCTGGTATTCTGAGTTTTATCCGAATCTTTTGATTTTTGGTGCATTTATTTTCTTTTTAGCTTCAATCATAGCAGGGACAAACAACAACACAGATTTTTTTTTTGGCTTTGTTTAGTAATAATAATCTCACCTTTACAGTGTATTTGAAATAGTTTGCGGTTTGCATGAAGCGGATGAAGCCGTCCGTTTCCTCTGTCGCTACTGTTAACACCAGCAGTTTTTCTGAAAAGATGACAGTGAAAAATTATCACATATTTTTTATCTGCTGAATTGCAGGGAGAAGGGGTATATCCCTGCAAAAAAAAAGACAACATTGAAAGTTCTGCAAAATTGGCTTAAGCTTGCTTAAACATATCCACAAAAATGTATTTTTCTAAGCTGAAATATAAGTATCGTGATTCTCTCTGCTGTCCTATGCGGTATGTCCTTTGTAAACCTCAAACCTACATCAACATACTGATGACCATTTGGTTAAGCAGTCTGAACCTACAGTATGTCTCAATTTGGGAATGACTGCTGTAATTTAAATTTCATCTAAAAACAGCGGCCTGTGTTTAAAGACTCAATTATCTATTTCCTTCTAGGATAGAGGGACTTCCACAAACCTCAGGAAAATTTCCAGTTGTCTATAGTGCTGAAGGTTGAGGTTTAAGGAAGGGTTAACCATACACACATTTTTAGTAGTCAATTATAACACTAGAGAGAGAAAGAGATTTTTTTTTTGTAAAACAAGTTCCAAACCTTTAATCAACAATATGCCGTGTTAAAGCAGTGGTTCTCAATCATGGTCCTCAAATACCACTATCCAGCAAGTTTTAAGTGTCTCCTCTCTGCAACACACCTGACTTATACAAAGGAATGACTATTGTAACAGGCTTTTCTGAAGCACTAGAAGGGTGCTGAGGAGCTCACACAATCATTTGAGGCAGGTGTGCTGAAACAGGAAGAAATCCACAATATGCAGAGTAGTTGTATTTGAGAAAATCTCCTCTAACACTTTATCTACTTCATAATATGTTGCAACTAAATAAGGGGGGAGAACTAATTTGCTATTGGCAGACATCTAAAAGTCTCCTTAAAAAGTGTAACACTTTAGAGAGGAAAAGAAAAACTTATTGGCCCATTAAAACATTTTTATAAGTCTACTTGAAAAGAACAGCAAATCTGCCCTCTAGTTGACAGAGAGTACTGCTCCATCAAACACTTGTAAATTATTTATTGGTCAGTTGTAAAATAAACTAGTTACAAATGGAGATAGAGAGAGAATCCGCAGAGTCTCTGAAATTTAAAATTACACCGAATCAAATTTAAACGCAATTACAGGCCTCATCTCACTAACCTAAACGAATGAACAATAACTTTCTGTTTTACACTGATCAGGCGTCACAATATGACCGCCCTCCTACCATAGACCCATTCCCTTTTCTGCTGCTGAAAATGTATTGACCCTTGAAGGCATGGACTCTTCTGGAACAGACAGTCTGCTGCAGTAACTGGCACCAAGATGTTGTTAAAAGGTTTTTGAAATTTTGTGGGTGGGAGGCTGAGCCTCTTTACTGGTCTTGCATGGCTCACAAGTTTTGTTTTAATCAAAGTCTTTTTTATGGGTATGTTGGAGTATTGCATTAGAAAAGGCTGATGGAAACACCAAAAGTTGAAATAGGTTCCACTGTTTTTAAAATGGAAAGTTGTGACGTAGCGAACATTTACATCACATGCCTATTTCAGCTGTTTGTGTGTTCTTGGATATTATTGATTATTGGAATTGGATGCATCAGATGGCTATTCTCGATTTGTGTATGTGAAAAACAAATTACATCGGCAATGCTAATTGACAAGACAAAACAATTGCAACTTGCCTAAAAGCAACACATTCCAGAAGAGCTCATATGGGTGGTCCATATTAGTTTGCAACTTTTATGTCCTGTTTATTACAGCAATGCGTAATGTCGAATTTAGACAAATTTGCTGTTTGCGTAGCCTAGTAAATTTGCGAGAAACCATTTAATGGAAATACACCTAATTTGCTTTCCTTTTTCCTTTTTTTATATTTCAAATGTTTCTTTGAAATTTGAATGGCAATACAAAGGAAACAGCAACAGTTCTTCTAGTGAACTCCATTTTTAGTTACAAGGTTTCTATAAAATTTCCCCGAATTCATGATTCAAACCCTTAATTTCACACATGAATTCATCACAAAATGAAAGAGCTTACACTTAAGCACAACCGGAAGTGCAAATTCTTTGTGATTTAAAAGTGATGAGGTAAAACATACAAGAAGTATTCAAACATTGTTGTTATTTTGTGCCACACAAAGCAGTTGCACTTTACCAAGATCTAAAATCGTTGTTATGTATAATGATCCAGTGCTTGGAGATAAAGTAAAGAGCAGGTGAAGATTTTTTTACTTTTGATGTATCGAATTAAATCTAAATTGTATAAAGAAGAAGCTTAGCTTAAAATATATCTAGCTTAGCTAACCTTACTAAGGTAAAAAATCGTAAGGATAACTTTTCCATTCTAACCGTGACTGTACCCAAAACAAGCCTTGAAGCAGTAGAAGTTCAATCAAGTACAGCACAGCTGTATATCCCAAAAAACAATTAATGATACCTCCTTCCTTTGATCAATTATGATCTGAGTTTTAGAGCACATGCTTTTTGCTTCAGGCTTTTTGGGTTTCTGTTTCTCTTCATTTTTAGTTTTAAAAGTATCCAACTAAATCAAATTCTAGACATTTTGACCTAATACACCTGGTATGCAATAGGTTAGTGCTTATGTCCCTTTCTGGTACTAAAAGTCTACTATAAACAATGTATGTTTCCAAATCCTGAGCTGAATTTACAGTTCAAAAAGTGACATGGCACAGTGAAAGTGCTATTAGGACTGGGCAAAAAAGCAATATTTATATAAATTGTAATTGACAACAGCTCAATATCAATAGAAAATATGTTCAGTAAGAATGCCAACAATTCCCCTTAACTCTGATCAATACCCCATGGTATTCTGGGGGATGTAGGTGGAGCAAGGGATTTAGTCTTTCAACCTCTTACGGCCAAACAAAGCAAGGTAAATGTTAGGGCTGAGCTATTTTTAATGGTTAAAGGTTATATTTAGATAGGGTTAGGGTTTCAATTTACCTCAGATATTTTTTGCCGTGTTTTTTGAATAGGAAAACAAAACATCAATCAATATATTAAATGAACCAATACTATAGCTTTTCGACTGACCTAATATATGAAAAATAAACTATAACTATTAGCATATTAAAAGTAGTGAAGATTTTTCCATGGCAACTTTGGGTTCAGGGTAGCTTTCCTTTTAATGTTTCCCAAAGAAGCAGGTTTAGCTTTCTTGTAACCTCACCAATCCAAAAATCCAAAATTAGGTCTAACCAGTGAGTTGTTCATCACTAAATCAACGTGTCAACCATATTTAGACATCTGAAGACATGTTTTCAATTTTTCATCCTGCCATTCTTTAGTTGTCTCAGTCTTACAGTTGCCCCATTAACACTACCCCTCTGAAAGCCATCTGTGCTGAGTTCGGACTAAGCTTGGATCAGTTAACCGTGATAAGCTTGGTTCCTTACAACCATTTACACATCCCACTAGCAAGGTTCCTCACCTCCTATGATACTACAGCTCCCAAGGCAGGAATTACACCAAAAAATTGTGGTAGCCATAACATTCAGGAACTTGCCTGGATAGCGTCATCTGCCCAAATTTCAATGAGAGACTCGATCTCTGCATCACCCCAGGTCGCACCACGCTCTTTTGATGCCATTTATTGTTAATAAGTTGAGAAGAAGTTTGTGTTGTGAAAAAGTAAAAATATCTGTGAATTGGAAATCTGGACATGCAGGAAAACCCACTAAATGAGTCAGCTGACTGTAAATAGGAGATAACGAAGCCGAGAAGCCCTTCCATGGAGCTAGTACTATATTTAACGAGGTTCGTTTGTGTCTGGCAGGGTCCAGTTCAGTTGCTTTCCATTTACACTCAACAGTTCCAAAGTATCTTTAAGACCAATATTTTGCATATCCTAATTCAAAAACAAACCTGTTATTAGTATTTCTTAAATGAGAGAAAATAAAAATTACATGATCTACCTCCAGAAACATATAGTGTATGTCAATTTTTTTCAATTTAATCAGAATCATTTTAATCAGAATGTATGGAGCAATAAATGAAACCATGTCATTTCATTAAAAAACATCCAATAAAACCCAATGTCGGAAAATATTTGAAAAGTTACATTGTTTACATTGTTTAACAATGTCGCCCACACAAGTTATTTTCAGGAATTTGAGTAAGAATGTATAAACAGAGATCCTGCAATACAATATTGTTTCATTTGGACTCAGACACGTAAAAGGGTCCTATTTCAAATCCTTCCTTCAACTGAAATTACATCCATCCATTGTAGATCACTGCCTATAGGCAAGAGGCAGGTCACACCCTAGGTCAACAGTCTATCAGAATACAGAGACACAACCATTCATGCACACAATCACACCTAAGGAGATTATAGAATTAACCTAACATGTTTTTTGGACTGTGGAGAGAGCTGGAGTACCCAGAAAGAACCCACACATGCTCAGGGAGAACATGCAAACTCCATGCAGAAAGATCCCAGACGGTTAATCGAACCCGGAACTTTCTTGCTACAAGGCAGCGGTGCTATCCACTGTTCCACAGAGAAGCTCAGTTAAATTACATTGTCCGAATATTGTTCACTCCTTGATAGATTAAAAGCATAGTTGAGATAAAGATATCAGCAGGAAACAAGGGAGGTTTTATATACAGTAGCCGTGATTTTAAAGCAAGGGTGTCCAGTACGAATAAATAGTGGATTCTCTCTTGGCAGTCCAGTATTAACAGCTCATGAAGAGAGGAATGTAGCAAATGGTGTTACTGAACTTCTTCACTAAGAAAGGCCTTGACTCCAACCCATTTTTCCTTTGCAAGTATTCTGTGTGTTGCAAGTGTTATTTGACTAAACTTTCACAGTTTACTGTGTAAAAGTCCTGAATTACTTAGGGGACAGTTTAGCAGTTCCTTTATTTTCTCTTAAAAAAGGAAAAGTATCAAGGGAAAGTGTCCTGTGCTTGTAGAAAACTTATCAGGATTTATTTTATTATGGCATGTGAGCACAAACTGCTGTTCTATTTTGGTCATCCAAGCAAATAAATGGCTTTCCTCCCAAGGCTCACAGTAAGT